CACAGTGGCAGACTCGCGATGCCCACGCCCGCTTTGCTATTCGCAACTCCCTGCCAGTAGACGAACGCGAGCACTTTGGCCAGCATCAGACTGCGCAGGCCCTGTACACTGCTGTAGTTGCGCGCTACTCCTCCCCGGCCTCAGCTGCACTAGGCCGCCTCTCGCTTCCCTACCTGTTCCCCGACCTGTCCGCCTTCCAGACGGTCGCTGACCTCATCACTCACCTCCGCACTAGTGATGCCCGCTTCCGTGCAGCCATGCCCGCTGAGTTTCTTGCCTCCAACCCTCCCCCGCTCTGGCTCACTCTCTACCACCTAGTCACCCGCCTCCCTGACACTTTGCGTACAGTCAGGGACCACTTCCTAGCTCGCTGCCCCACTGAGCTCACCATTGCCGCCCTAGAGAAGGAACTACTTGCAGCTGAGAAGAGTATTGTAGCTGTAGGTGCCTCTCGTGGTGACCCCTGCACCCCTTTCTTCGAGGGGTGTTCCCCCTCCCCCCTCCTCCCCTCTGTCGCCTCTGCTGCTGCTGTCGACCTTCTTGGTGCTGAGCAAGTCGGCTCTGCGTCCGCTCCCAGCGGGCGCCGCAGCGGCAAGGGCAGGGGAGGCAAGGGCGGTGGGGGTGACGGCGGGGGAGGCGGTGGTGGGGGTGGTGGCGGCGGTGGGGGTGGTGGCGGGGCTGGAGGGGCTAGTGTCAGCGGTGGGGGTGGTGGAGGCAGCGGCGGCGGCGGTGGCCAGGGTGGGGGCGGTGGTGGTGGCGGCAGTGGACGTGGCGGCGGCAGGGGCGGTGGTGGTCGTGGTGGAGGCGGCGGTGGTGGTCGTGGAGGCTCTGGCACTGGCCAGAGTAAGCAGCACCCTCAGTCCTCCCAGGAGCTTCGTGAGTGGTACTTACAGCACGGGGGTGGGGGGGGTAGCCTTAGCTGCACGTACGTCATCCGCACTGGTCGCCGCAAGGGACAGACGTGCGGGAGGGCGCACACCGCGCAGCGCTGCTTCTCTCGCCTAGATGACGCTTGGCGTGCTCAGTTTCCTGACGCTCCTGAGCTCCCTCAGTGGGCTGATCTCCTCAAGAAGGATATCGATATCTATGCTCTTGATTTTGATGTTATTCTCAAAGCAATATATGCATTGACTATTAGTGGAGAGGAGGACCAGTACCTGAGTGTTCCGCCTGACCCAGGCATCCGCACGAGTGAGACTGCCGCCCTAGGTGCTTGCGTGTCTGCTGCCCCAGGTGCTGGTAAGGCTACTGCTCTAGGTGCTTGTGTGTCCGCCACCCCAGGTACTACTGAGTCCACTGAGGCACTGCACACCTTCACTCTAGACTCAGGCGCTTCGCGCTGTTTCTTTCGTGACCGCACTGCTCTTGAGCCCCTTGCTCGACCAGTCGCTGTCTCGCTCGCTGACCCCTCTGGGGGTCCGGTCATTGCGACCTTCTCCACCCTCCTTCCTTGTCCTGCTGTCCCGTCGGGCACACTGTCAGGTCTTCACCTCCCCTCGTTCTCTACGAACTTGGTCGCGGGTTGTGCGCTTCAGGATGGGGGTGTTCACCAGTTCACCCCTGCCTACGAGCGCGTCACACACTGCACGTGTGCTCGGACGGGCCGTCACCTGGCTACCTTCACTCGGCAGCCGGGGTCGGACCTGTACACACTGACAACTGAGTCCCCTCAGGTAGCGGCGTCTGCGTCTGCGTCTGCGTCAGGTCAGCTGTCTGCCCCCTGCTCGTGTCGCTCTCTAGCGCACAAGACTGTCCTCTGGCACCACCGACTTGGTCACCCGTCAGTGCAACGCCTTCGGGGCATGCACGCCCGGTACCTTGTCTCTGGTCTTCCTCGGGTACTCCCTCCCCTCCCACCCTCCCTTGCTCCTCCTTGTCTTCCCTGTGTTGAGGGGCGGCAGCGCGCTGCCCCTCACTCCTCCTCGTTCCCCCCGACGACTGCTCCTTTGCAGACGCTCCACATGGACGTGTGGGGCCCAGCCCGCGTCCGTGGTCAGGGCCAGGAGAGGTACTTCTTGATCGTCGTTGACGACTACTCGCGCTACACCACGGTCTTCCCCTTGCGCAGCAAGGGTGAAGTCCCTGATGTCCTGATCCCTTGGATCAGCAGAGCACGTCTTCAGCTGCGAGAGCGTTTTCGCTCGGAGTTTCCTGTCCTGCGCTTGCACTCTGACAGAGGTGGCGAGTTCTCCTCCGACCTCTTGGCAGCCTACTGTGCTGAGCACGGCATTCGCCAGTCGTTCACGCTTCCGGCCTCTCCACAGCAGAATGGGGTTGCTGAGCGCCGCATTGGCTTGGTCATGGAGGTCGCTCGTACCTCCTTAGTCCACGCGGGTGCCCCCCACTTTCTGTGGCCGTTTGCGGTCCGGTACGCTGCGCATCAGCTCAACCTCTGGCCCCGTGTCTCCGCTCCGGAGACCTCGCCCACACTGCTGTGGACGGGGGAGGTTGGCGATGCGTCACGCTTCCGTGTCTAGCAGACCCCTCTAGGGGTCCACGCCGTGCGACCTCCACCACTGTCCTCCCTTGTCCTGCTATCCCGTTTGGCACACTGTCGGGTCTTTACCTCCCGACTTTCTCTACGAACTTGGTGGCGAGTTCTGCGCTCCAGGACCCGGGTGTTCACCAATTCACCCCCTCCTACGAGCGTGTCACACACTGTACGTGTGCTCAGACGGGTCGTCACCTGGCTACCTTCACTCGGCAGCCGGGGTCGGGCCTGTACACACTGACCACTCAGTCCCGTCAGGTAGCTGCGTCTGCGTCTGCGTCAGGTCAGCTGTCGGCCCCCTGCTCGTGTCGCGCCTTGTCGCACCAGACCCTCCTTTGGCACCACCGCCTTGGTCACCCCTTGGTGCAGCGCCTTTGCAGCATGCACTGCCGTGTCCTTGTCTCTGGTCTTCCAAGGGTTCTTCCTCCCCTCCCACCCTCGCCTGCTCCTCCCTGTCTTCCCTGTGTCGAGGGGCGGCAGCGCACTGCTCCTCACTCCTCCTCGTTCCCTCCCATAGAGGCTCCCCTGCTGACTCTCCACCTGGACGTGTGGGGCCCAGCCCGCGTCCTTGGACAGGGCCACGAGCGGTACTTCCTGCTGGTCGTCGATGACTACACGCGTTACACCACGGTCTTCCCCTTGCGCACCAAGGGTGAGGTCCGTGATGTTTTCATCCCTTGGATCCGTGCTACTCGTCTCCAGCTCCGCGAGCAGTTTGGGACAGAGTTTCCTGTCCTGCGTCTGCACTCTGACAGAGGTGGGGAGTTTTCCTCCGACCTCTTGGCAGCCTTCTGTGCGGAGCACGGCATCCGCCAGACGTTCACGCTTCCGGCCTCTCCGCAGCAGAATAGGGTTGCTGAGCACCGCATTGGCTTAATCATGGAGGTCGTTCGTACTTCCATGATCCATGCAGCTGCCCCCCATTTTCTGTGGCCGTTTGCGGTCCGGTATGCCGCGCATGAGCTCAACCTCTAGCCCCGTGTCTCCTTGCCGGAGACCTCGCCCACACAGCCGTGGACGGGGAAGGTTGGCGATGCGTCACGTTTCCGGGTCTGGGGTGCTCGTGCCTTTGTTCGCGATACCACCGCGGACAAGTTCTCCTCCCGCGCTGTTCCCTGTGTCTTCCTTGGCTTTGTCCCTGATGCGCCTGGTTGGCAGTTTTACCACCCCACCCCGCGCCGTGTCTTCCCCTCTCAGGACGTCACGTTCGACGAGTCGGTTCCCTTTTACCTTCTCTTCCCCTACCGCACTGCCCCTCTCCCCCCCCCCCCCCCCCGCCGCTCTTCCTCGCTCCAGGTACTCCCCATGTCGACCCCCTCCCCGCTACCGGTCCTGCTCCTTCAGGTGTGTCTCAGGTAGACCCTCCTCCCTTGAATGCGCTGGTTGAGGTCACTCGTGACTCAGGTCCTGCTGAGGGTGGTCCTGCTCGGGGTGCTGCTTCTGGGGGTGCTGAGCCTGGGGGTGCGGAGCCTGGGGTTGCTGAGCCTGGGGGTGCGGAGCCTGGGGGTGCTGAGCCTGGGCGTGAGGAGTCTAGGGGTGCTGAGCCTGAGGGAACTGAGTCTGGGGGTGCTGCACCTGGGGGCGCTGAGGCGTGTGGTGAGCAGTCTCCCTGGGGCGGCCGTCTCCGTAGTCCCTGGGGCGTTACCGTTTGCATGTTTCGCGCATAAATGTTCGCTCATGCCTTGGCTCACATTTGATACTCGTTTGACACCTTAGTGCCATCCTCGCTACCTAAATTCATTGCACCCGTAACAGGTAACATGATACAACTGTTGGGCGAGTCCCCCTTGGTTTGGTCGCAGCTCATCTATGATAGTTCAGGCTGGTAATGGTTCAATGCGGTGCACCGAATAAACTGCCCTGCATTGCTCAGCATCATCCCCAATTAGGATATTCGCGACGCGACTGCCAGCCATGCCTGCCGTAGCAGCGTCGCTTCGCGTCCGCATCTCATCTCTCGCCGCGCTGCCGCGCAAATCTTTGCTCCGACCGCTCAAGCCGCTCCTAACGCCGTCTCTCGCCGGGATGCTCGTGGCGCCACCCTCAGCCTCATCGCGCCCAGCCGTAGTCGCCATGGCGGCCGAGCCGCGCGGGCCCCATTCATACGCGGATATAGAATCCTCGTTAAAGGGCGAAACCCTGATCGAACTCTTGCCATCGTGGGCGCGTCGCACAATCTGTCCGGCCGGCAGTGGTTGCGGCGACGGCGAGTGCGAGCTGCTCCACGTGGACCCCACCTGGCGAGACGCGCTGGCGAGCCGACACATGGCGCATGGGGTACAGAGCAGTGGCGGCAGTGCGTGGGGGGGAAGACCTCGGTTGATCGTGTGCGCGGGACCAGAGAGGTCGGGTGCGCCTGCCACCACCCACTCATTGCACCCACATAGTAGCCCTTACTCCGTGCTCTGCCCTTGAGTCGGGTCAAAAATCGCTTCTTTCGCCGAGTAATTGAGCCCTATATCCGACCTTATGCGTCCTTCATCCTCCTTCCATTTAACTCCGCGCCCTCATGCCCCCGCAATATCCGCAATGCTCCACGCACTGCTCGCTTGAGTCTCCAAGCCCTGAGTTTTCACTGAACGCGCCACTTCCTTTCGCATCCTCCCCTTCCTCCTCCCTCCCCCCTCCCTTCCCCGACCCCCGCCTCCCTGCAGGCTCCATGTGGTTCTTCAACCCTCCTCCCATTTCCCCCCTTCCACCCAACCCCTCCTCCCATTTCTCTCCCTTCAACCAACCCCCCTTCCCCTCTCTTCCCTGCCCGACTGCAGGCTCCACGTGGCTCTTCAACACCGTCCGCCTGCTGCTCGCCCACTCGGGCCAGCTGGCGCTCTCCTATTGGCTGCACTCCATCTTCGCCAGCAAGCTGCGCGCCAGGGGGCTCTCGCCTCTTGGCAGGCCTGATCCTGGGGGCAAGGGCGGAGGTCATGGGGGGATGGGGGGAGAAAGAAGAGGGTCCGCGGAGGGATTAGGAAAAAGAGGGGATGGGGAGGGAGTGGGGATGGATGGAGAGGGGTGGGGAGGAGTGAACGTGGTGGTGAAGACACACGAGTGGGCGGAGGGGTGGGAGGTGGGCGAGTGGACTCGGGTGGTGCTGCTGACTGAGAGGGACGTGTGTGGCGTCGCTGACTCCTACCTCCGCGTCGGCTGGTTACCACACAGCATGCCGTGAGTAAGGCAGGGATCACAGCATGCCATTTGGCCGTCCACCTTTCCACGTCCTCGTTTCTGCCTCATGTGTGAGCCCCTTGCTTGCATTGCACCAATCACTGCGGCCGCCTTGCACTGATATCCTCCTCACCACCTCCACTCCTCTCCCTGCCCCCCGCATCTCCCTGCACCCCATCTCTCCTTCACGCGCATGCCCTTCTCCCTCGTCGTCAACGCCCCGCCCGGCCACACCCACTATCCCTGTCCCAACACTCGTGCACTGCCACACATCAATGCCGGTGGCTCCTCATCAGTGACTACCTTCACTCAAATCTCTTTTGGAATCTTTCGTCTCTCCTCTCCTCTCGCTGCTGCATCGCGCCTCATGTGTGCAACCCCCTTCATCTACTCGACCACATCAGCAGTGCGACCCTCACCCCAAGCACACTCGTCTCTGCCATTCCCCCCTCTTCCCCACCCCACTTTTCCTCCCATGCACTCCCGCAGTCGCATCAGGGCCACACGTCCCACCGCAATCTCCCTTCTCGTTTTTCAACCAGCTTTTCATTACTTTAACCTTCCCACCCTCTGCATGCCTGCCTTTAGGTGCATCGAGGCCCGCCTGCAATCCTGCCTGCATGACCATCATCGGCAAAATATTTATTTTTTTCTTTCCTATCTTTGACAGAACTTCCCACTTCTCTCTACCGACCTTCCTTCCTCTGCCTCCCTGCATGCAGGCGCATCAAGACGCACATGCAATCCTACCTGCATGACCACTATCGCTGGAAGCAGCATGCTGCTGCCGTCATCCCCTTGGCCTCCATCGTGCCGCCCGGCAGCCCCTCAGAGCTGCTCTGCTTCTCCCACCTCGCTGCGCTCCTGGGCCTATAAACCGTGGAGAGGGCTGCAGCAGGGGCGGCGGAAGGGTCTGGGCTTGAGGCGATTCAAACACTTGAAGGGAGAGAGGGGGCCGATGGGAGGGCAGTGGACGTGCGTGTTGTGTCAAGAGCCCTTGCTCAGCTGCCAGTCCCCACAGGTTCGACCTTTTGGCCCTCTCCCTGTGTTGTGCCACATGCTGATGTTCAAGGTGCCTTCAAAGCCAGTTCCCACAGGTGAGGCCTTCGGGCCTTCTCTCTGCCTTGCGCCGCAGGCTGGCGAAGCATCAAGCAAGCTGTGACCTTCATGCGTCACCTTAGCACATGCCATCGTCCCCACTTCAAAGTCTCATTATATTTCCCTCCCTCCTCCCACGTCCTCCTCCAACCCCACCCCTCCCCCCCCAACTTTCTCGTTGGCTGCTCTCCTCCCTCTAACCTGCCACCAACGCTCACTGCAGGCTGGGCGCCTGACCCGGTGACCAAGCTGTGGCCGCGCCACAAGAGCAAAAGGGGGTCAGCCAGGGCCCTCACAGGAGAGGAGCGGGCGGAGCTGCAGCAGTTTGTGGCGTCCCTGGCGCCACCTGCCAGTGCACCCACGAAGTAACTCGCCTCGGAGTAGCTCGTGTGGGAGTAGCTCGTGTGGGAGTAGCTCGTGTGGGAGTAGCTCGTGTGGGAGTAGCTCGTGTGGAAGTAGCTCGTGTGGGAGTAGCTCGTGTGGGAGTAGCTCGTGTGGGAGAGTAGCTCGTGTGGGAGTAGCCGACCAAGCAGCGGCCTCGCGACAAGAACGCAGCCCATGTAGACAAAAGGGGATCAGCAAGGGGCCTGACACACGAGGAGCGGGCGGAGTAACAGCAGTTTGTGGCATCCCTGGCACTAAGCGCCACGCCACGTACAGCATCACACTTGCCATGGTGCTCTCTCACAACATAACACTGGTGGGCGCTGGCCTTGCCTACGTGCTCATAGCAATTGATTGCAACTTTCCTGGGGTCTCACAAGGTTAAGTGGGACATCATCAAAAACTGCCTTTTTGCCTGCTACGGTATATTCCACTCCATGTTGCACAATAGTAGCACACACCGCGGTACATTTGAGCTTGATCAAAAGTTACAAACACTACGGCATTATAATAAGCTCAACTCATTAAAGATAACTGCTGTTATTTGCAATAATCACTTCTTTCTGGAGGGTGCACTCATTGGTCTCTGGAAAAAGCAGCAGCGACAGAAGGCTTGATGCTGAGCATGGTGGGCATAAGGGAAGTGCTGCTATGCACGCTTAATCCATCATCCCCTTGACTGGTGCTCCTCATGCCACTGCATCTGAAAGGAGAGAGTGGAGGCATAGAATGGAAACACACACGAGAGGCATAGCATGTGATTGTGGAAGTATAGGATGGTAAGCCACTCATTTCTGCAGGGTGCACAGGACGAGGGTGAGAAGGAACAAGGCGAGAAGGTCGAGGGATGAAAGCAAGAGGCTCAGCACAGAGTGAGGAGCAGGGAAGGAACAGCGTGCGAAGGACGAGGGTTGTCCTTCATCTAGACACCTTATTGCAGAGGCACGAGGGACGGACACAAGCTTCTAGGAGGCTCGCGTGTCGGGCACTCTTTTTTCAAGTGTACTCCCTAATGGTGCACTCGTACCCACTGATGATGAAGCGCCACTCACCACGGCACTGCTTCGCATTGGTGCCCAAGACTTGAGGAGCGGGTCACACACACGTCTTGTTGCCGTCCACCAAGGTGCACGTGGCTGTCCCACACTGCTCGCAGCCTGTAGGACACGCATGGGGCGTTTGTGGTGGCAGGGAGGCGGGACAACGTGGGAAGGAGGGAGGAGAATGATGCAACCAGGCGTGTGTTTCGCTCGCAGGAATCATGGGCTCACTGTAATAATGGGCTCACAGCAAGCAATAAGTGAGTCGGGATGGCGACTGTGCATGCAATTGAGCAGCCACTAGACTTTTGCAAGAGCAAAACAACAGCGATGTCTCACACCACCACATACCACACTACACCGCACCGCACCATGCGACAAAGCTCTGGGATGTCACAACTGTGAAGCACAGTGCTGTGCGGTCAAACGGGCGTTGACACATGAACGGGCTAGCGTGCGTGTGACAGGTTGCAAGTGAGTGCGGGCGAGTTCAGTGGTGCAACCTTACCCGTCCAGCACTTGATTGACCCTGGCAAGCCCTTGGCTGTCGTGATCGTCCTGCGACCAGCAGCAGGGAGGGTGGCACGGGAGCACAGGAAAGGATCACAAGTGAGACACGTGGAGGAGACTGTTGAGATACGCCCCTCCCTATGTTTGGGATAATGCGAGCTCACCAGTTGGTGAAGGAGCTGCTGGTGATGGGCAGAGGGCGCTGGTACGTCACGTAGGGATCCCTCTTGCAGTCCGAGTTCGGGTGGAAGGCGATGCTGATGCACTTGAGGTTCAGCTGCGGGACGTCCTGGATGCCCCACTGGATGCTCGCGTTGATCGGGGGCGCAGTGGAGTACAGCCACACGACATTCGTGCACGGACTGTCGTTGAAAATAAAGCGACCGGAAGCAGTGCCCGTTCCCTGGAATTTTACAAACGTGTCGTAGACGCCGGCGCTAGTTTCTGGGATGAGCGCGACGAGGCCAACGAGGACCGCGGCGACGCCAACTTGAAGGGCGGCGGAACGCTGGCCGGCGCGTGCCATAGCGACGCGAGACGGGGCGAGGGGAAGCGAGGCTGCGCTGCAGCGTTGGTGACCGCGTGAGCCGGCTGCACTATCGTGACGCCGACGCTTTTTGAGGCGTTTCAAAAGTCACGTGATGTGGTCCGCTCTGTGTAGTAGTGTCGACGCTTAACCGCGTCGTGCTGCTGCGGTGGTCCCGATGCGAGATGGTGCGAAGTGACGCAAAGTGCAGCGATACGTGAAGGGAAAGAGAGAAGGTGGGAAGCTCGTGCAGAATGGCGAGACATGGTGAACGACGGAAAGGGGGGATTTATGTAGTGAGAAAGGAGCGGCTGGCGAGGGACGACAATGGGAGGTGAAAGGAGCTTGAACGACCCTGGCGGATTTTCTGACGATTGGACGATGTGGCTTTTTTGTGCTCTGAAATTTCAGGGCGAGCTTCGCCATCCTGACTGAAATGTTCAGCCCGGATTTCTCAGAATCTTGATTTTTCCGCCGGGTCTAAAAATTTTTAACCATGGAACAGAAACTATTTTCACATTCCCTTGCCCACCCAATCCTTGGTGGCAGCGCACCAATCGTACGTGATTGGGCCAAAATCTTTTGCGCCTCGTACAGCACAGCACGAACGAGCTGACCATGACAACTTGTTGAAAGCCATGGCACGTTCGTGCCGTGCTGTACGAGGCGCAAAAGAGTTGTTGCTGCTCAGCTGGGTGTGTGTGCTATGCTGACTCATATTGAGCACACACGAGTGACAAAGAACTATTTGCTGACTGACAAATGGGCATGGCCATAACTTACAATGACTTCAATGACTTCAAGACCGCCATGGCCGTTTGCGAGATCTTAGGGCAAGTAAGGAGCGACAGGACCCAAAGCATCCGAAAAATCTCAGGCAGGAATCACTTTGAGGGTGTGGGGACCCCCAGGTACCCTCATGGGGTAACCTCGAAGCTTCCATCAGACACTCGCAGGTTACCTTTGAGGGCGGGCGACTGTGGCGAAGTGGTAATCCACGCACTTGGCGTTTCGGGAAAAGGATGCTGGCCAATCAAGTTGGCGCTCATTTCGTGGTAACCCAGTGGGAACCTCCAGCTTTAGAGAAAGATTCGGCTTCCGCTAGGGTTTCACATCGAGGCAATCTTCAAAGTAGGAGTTCGTTTATGGGATATCCATCTTGCAAAATTGAGTGAAATCAATTCCTACATGTTGGTGCTCACACACTTTTGTATAGTGAATGTGTTACGGGTGCAATGGATCGAGGTAGCGAGGATTGCACTAAAGTGTCAAATGAGTACAAAGATGTGAGCGACGACATGAGCGAACATTTATACGCGAAACATGCAAACGGTAACGCGGTGCCTGCGAGCTAGCTAGTGCTACGCTGGCAGCGAAGCTCGGGCTAGTCCCGAAACGTAGGCCGACACGGCCGGGCCAGCAGTGCGAGGTTTGGCAAAACAGTGCGCGCGAAGTTGGCGAAGTCCCGTTTGCAGTAACGGGCGAACAACGGCTGTTGCTGTACGCGATGTAGTCAAGCTCCGTAAGGAATGTCGAGAAAATTCCTTACACTACCCCCCCCCTCTCAAGAAGCCCCCTCCGCTACGCGGGTGCGTGTATATCGCGGAATCCCCGGCTCCTCAGGTACACTTGCAGGGCAGGGTGGTTTTCAATGTTGGCTTGGGGCACCCAGCTATCTTCAGTTGGCGTGCGGTCCTTCCAACGAACGAGGAATTCAATCCTCCTAATTCCCGTGGGGTGGCAAATCCGGTGGCTCAGAATTTTTTCGGGCTAGATGATCGGCTCCGATGTACGGCGAGCCATGGAATGCGGGCGGTGACGAGGCAGTTGGCTGGTGGTTGGGATGTACGGGCGAAGTAGGCTGACATGGAACGATGGGCTGATATACCAGTCGGTCGGTAACAGTAGGTGCGCGGTTACTGGCGTGATCATGTGGCTGATTTGGAATGGGCCATAGTAGCGCGGTCGAAGTTTCGGTACGTTGGGCAGTCGCAGATTTTGCGTGTCGAGCAGTACGTAATCCCCTGACTGGTATGTGACTAGGCGGCGGTGGCGGTCAGCATTGCGCTTAGCGATGATGTTTGCCTTTTTAATAGCTCCTGCGGCTCTAGTGCGGGCAGCTTGCACAATTTCGGCGAATTGTTGTGCACGTGGTGTTGGGTTGTCCGGGCTCGGCGTCATGGGCACTGTAGGGTTTTGCCCATAGTTCAGGTAGAAGGGGAACTGCTGCGTCGTCGCTGATGTGGCGTTGTTGTACGCGAACTCAATCAGCGACAGCTGCTGCTCCCAAGTCGTGGGGTCGTCGCACGTGGCACGAATCAACTGCTCCATCGTCTGATTCGTCCGCTCCGTTTGACCGTTGGTCTCGAGGTGGTACGACGAAGTGAACTATAGCCTGTGTGAGAATAGTAGAACAGGAATAAATGAACTATGAATGAAGTGAGTACAAATATGAAACCCTAATTGGGTTGTACCCCCTATGGGATACCCCACTATAGCCTACACAAATAAGTAAGCTATAATGTTCTGACACACCCCCATAGGCAAAGTGGGGGAGAACAAGGGGTCACAAGACCAGTCAAGCAAAGCAAAGCAAAGCTCAGGGTGGATCACAAAGTCACCACACATTCCGAGCGCAAGGTCAAGGGCCACAAGGCCAGTTCGCATGCAAGATCATATATAGAGATAAACAAGAGTCAAGCAAGCAAGAGCAAGAGTATATATAGGTCAAAGTACAAGCAAGGTCAAGAAGTGAGCAAGTGAGGCAAGTCGGGTACAAGACCCAGCTGCGTGCAGCAACGCTGATGATCACAAGGCGCAAGTGCCTTGGTGAAGACATCAGCAGTGTTGGCCTCAGAGGCCACGTACGCAAGTCGCAACTGTCCACGCTGCTGCAGCTCACGAGCAAGAAAGTAGCGGAGAGCAATGTGCTTTGTCCTGTGCTCTAGTCGCTGCTCTCGACACAAGGCCAGCATGGCCTTGTTGTATACATACAGGACTGGAGGAGAACGAGGCGGCTCTCCAAGGTCGGTCAGCAGGTAGGTGAGCCAGCGAAGCTCCTGAGCAGCCATAGCCCCGGCGTAGATCTCAGCCTCACAACTGGAGCCGAGAACAGAAGACGAGCGAGTAGCCCGCCACGAGACAGAGCCGGAACCAAGGCCGAAGGTGTAACCCTGTGACGACCGCTGCGTAGCCTGGTCGTCAGCCCAAGAAGCGTCTGCGTGCCCAGTGAGGACCACTGGACTCCGCCCTCCAAGCACTAGCCCCATGCCCGACGTACTGCACAAGTAGCGCAACACCCTCTTCGGTGCAGCCATGTGCTCTGGTCGGTGTCTCCCAGGAGCAACATAGCGTGCGAGAATGCTGAGAGGGTATGCAAGGTCAGGTCGTGTGCAGGTCATCAGGTACATGAGGCAGCCAACAAGCTCTGCATACGGGCCACTCGACTCTACGGACTCATCCGAAGGCAGAGCTGAGAGCGAGTGGCGAGTAGGCAGAGGAGTGGCCTGAGGCGAGGAGTACGTGAAGCCGAAGCGCTGAAGGACCTGCTGGCACCATGTGTGACTGAGTCAGGGTAATGGTGCGGCGTGCTCTGTCCCGGGTGATCTGCAAGCCAAGGTAGCTGCGCAGTTCACCCAGGTCAGTGCACGTGAGTCTCTTCTGCAGCTCGGACTTCACGTAAGCGAGTCCAGCAGTGTCCGCTGTGGCAAAGACCAAGTCGTCGACGTACACGAGGATGTAGAACGGCGGCAGAGAGGTGTCGGTGCGCAGAAACAACGACGGGTCGGCAGTAGAAGGAGCAAACCCAAGTGCCGCCAGCGTAGTCCTCAGTGTGTCGTGCCACTCACGTGGCGCCTGGCGGAGACCGTAGACTGGACGCCGGAGACTCCACTGGGTACGAGGAGGGAAAGACCCAGTGAAGCCAGGTGGGCGACGCAGCCAGATCTCCTCGTGCAGGCTGCCCTGCAAGAAAGCTGTGCTGAAGTCAAGAGAGTGCAGCTCGTAGTCACGGTGAGCAGCAACGTGCAGCAGTACCCGAAGAGTGGTCATCTTTGGGGTGGGGGAGAAGGTCTGAAAGTAGTCAACTCCCTGCCGCTGACTGAAGCCACAAGCCACGTAACGCGCCTTGAAGACAGGCGGAGAACCCGGCGGCCGCTTCACCCTGAAAATCCACATGCCACTGACGATGTTCGCCCCAGGAGGGGGAACAGCGTCGACGTAGGTGCCTGTGGACTTCCAGGAAGCCATCTCTGCATCCATAGCTGCCTGCCACTGAGAGGAGTAGGGACCCTCTATCGCCTCCGCGTAAGAGCGCGGAGTCGGGATGTCTAGTGCATCCGGGTCTCCCTCAGGGGCTAGCAGTACAGACGCGAGATGAGGTGAAGCGGCGGCCAGACACTGGAACTCCTCCTGCCTGTCCTCAAGGACGTCCGTGCCAAGGGCACACTCACCCCCGACGGACGGAGGACAGGCAGACTCAGACTCAGCGACAAGACTAGCAGCGTAGTCTAGACGACAGCGAGCAGCAAAGTCAACGAGCTCAGTGATAAGGGCAGACGCAGCAGAAGACTCGAAAGAAGGGTCAGTGACAGCAGTAGCAAGAAGACGCGTGACAGTAGGACTGGCAGCACCAAGAGAGTCCGACTCCGGGTCGGCAAGAGCAGGAAGAGAGGAAGCAGGAGGAGAAGGCAAAGGGGCACGCAGAGGAGCAGTAGACGGACGCAGAGACATCCGGTGCGTGCCAGGGACAGGAGGAGGACGCTGACGCGAACCACGACCACTAGTGCGCGCAGTACGAACAGGCGACGCAGGACGAGACGCAGGCTCACGACGCTCAGTAAGACCTCCAGTCGGACCAGCGTAGGGAGAAGGAGCAGGCAAAGGTGAGGCAGGCTGTAGCTGTGACTGTGACGAGACAGGCTGTGGACCCTCTAAGGGAGGAGGAGGAGGACCAGGAAAAGGTGTAAGACCAAGAACCTGCTGCAGGAGCGGAACGAAGT